AAAGTTTCTCAAGTATAAGTTTGATAATTGATTCCATTCTTTTTCCAATGGTTCTAAGAGCTTTTTTACGTTTGTTTTTCACTCTTTTGTCAAGTTCATCCTATACTATTTCTGGGAGTGGCTTCACACTTTTGAACTGTAGTATATATCCTACCAGATGATCCCAGGATTGAAAATTTGCCCTTCATTTGTAGTTTGAAAATCAATCATTGAGATTTGTGTCCAGATGTGGAGAGAACAGTTAAAAATTCAAATTTTAAAATAACTTAAAAAAATTAGTGATTTTAAAAGTTTTTAATTTATATTGAGTTTAAAGTAACACAAAAGCTTTGTGAATTTAAAAATGCTTGTTTTAAATTCAGTTTAAAAAATCTCAAAAACTTTGAATTGAGGAAATCAATTTTATTTTTTCAAAATGCCAAGGAATCGGAGTTAAAGTGAAAAGTTTCATGACGTGAGGTTTTGAAGTTCAGCAGAGTTTATTGATTGAAGTTCTACAGAATTTGTGATTTGAAGAACTCAATCTCGGCTTGAATTGGAATTTTGGCCCAAGTCGGACTTTTGGTTGGAATTAGACTTATAACCCAAATCAGAGTTAAAGTAAGGTTTTGAAGTTCTATGGAGTGAATTGAAGAATTCAAATTTATTTCTTCAGAATTATCATTTCTGTTTTCTAAGCTGGACTGCACGTCCCTTTAATTTTGGGCCAGAGGTCCAATTAGCCTCCACAGGAGCTAGCTTAAAAGCTTTTTAATCTAGTTACTAATAATAGCATTTTGAAAATTTTTCTCTCTTTTGCAGTAGGCATTTAGAACCTTGCTGTCTTGGATTTTCTTTGAAGATTCAAATGTTACATGCATTTTAATCTACAGTAGTCCCTTTGCTCATTTTTTTGAAGGTACGCAAGTAGAAAGAGTGCATAGTACCAAACCCTATATATACTGATTTTTTTTTCTATACATACCTTTGATAATGTTTAATTTTATGAATTAGGCACATTGAAAGATTAACAATGGTTGTTGCAAAATAGAACCATTGTAACAATATAATCTATCTATCTATCTATATATAAAATTCTGTGACTTCCATTAGTCTGTCTGTCCATCACAACCTCTAAAACAGCCATACATTGAGTGATCAAAACCAAATTTTAGGGGAGAAGTGTAAACAGGTAAGGGGGCACAAAGTACAGTTGGTTTTGCTAGGGTGCATAGCTTAGTATAATAAATTTTCATTAATTTTTTTGGAAAAATTAAAAGTTTTATCATTTAATGTGCAAAATACCCCCACTGTTTTAAAACAATTTAACGATTAAAATAACAAATACTTACTTAATAAAGATACAATATTATTTTTCAGATATCTTTTCTTTAGGATTTTATATACAAGAATCCAGTTTTTAGTCTGTCCTGCATTTGTGAGAACTATAAACAAATCACAAGGCCAAACGTTTCAAAAAATTGGAATTTTGGCTCCAGAAATAAATATTTATGCTTGGCCAGTTGTATGTTGCATGCACAAGAATAAGAAATCCTAAGAATTTATTCTTCACTGTTAAAAAGGAAAAAAAAAAAGAATTTCTTAAAAAAAATTGTTTAGCATTAAATACTATAAAATTTAATTAAAGAAATTATTAAACCGTGAAGTAGTGTTTTTGTCAAAGTATTTTTCCAAACAAATTAGCTTGTTCAAATTTCAGTGATTGGTTTGCGAAATTGCACGAAATATAGATTTTGTAAATTTTTACAAAAACTCCAACAATACTAAATACTCTGAGGATTTCAACAGCTTGTTGCCAAAAAATTCTAGTGTAATAAAAGTTATTTGACAGGTAGAAAATTTGTTCTTGTCATCGATGTCATTGGACTCGAGAAGAGGTTAACAAAAATAAGTAATAATAAAATAGAAGAATTATATACGGTAATAAATGTTCTATGACTAAAGATTTGTTTTTAACATAGAGGCACAATAAAAAAAAAAATCAAGAACAATATGAGACTACCAACAACGACGGTTAATACAATAGAAAAATTTGAACTTGTAAAATTCAGGAAGATATCTTCAACAGAAAAATACTTTTACTTCTTGCAAGTTAAGTGTGTGAAAGATACTAAGAATCATGTATTTTTTCATCTTGAAAACCCTTTTTAGCACTTTCACTGCTGACTTACTATAGCATTGTTGCCTGGCTGTGCTGGCTCATTTTAGGAAAAATTGGAAATTGCCTTTTTCCTGGAAATAAATGACTATAAAGATGCTGATAGCAATTTCTCATGGGTGCTACCATTTTGGTTTAGGTCGTATAATCTGCAGTAGAGAGATTAACTTCACTGGCACCCCAAAACAGATTATAACAAAAATATGACATAAAACAGGTTGTATTGTATGCAACAATATGTCTATGCTGGTTTGGAAATAACAATAAACACTAATTAGTTTCTAATATAAATCCTAAGGACTGACATTTTATGTTGATAGCAGGCAGTGAATATTTTGAAAAGATGTATATGTATGTCTACAGCAGCAGAAGTGTTAAAAAGCATCTCACGGGTAAAATACACCTGGGATGTCAGTCTTCAACTCTGTCTGGTTGAATATCAAAAGCTTTTTGGAGTTGATATTTACTTTTTATTTTGTAAATTTAAATCTTATAATCTGAAGTATTAATTGATTGTCATCTTATTAAAATGCAATACGGATATTTTATTCTTTTTGTGAAGAACCATTAACATTGCAAGACAAGCAGAGCACAGATTCTAATTTAGTATTTTGTATTTTATGAATTCTTAAATTTTAAGAAATTATCTCTTTTTTTTTTTTCTGACTTACATTCATTATTAGCACCTGAAACCTTATAAAATGAGAAATGTGTTGTTTTTTTTTCTAGATGAGACGAGATACTGCAATGCTAAACTCTGCTTGATTATTCTCACTTGTATTGCTGAGGTATGTAAAACATGAATTTCAGCTTCTTTCGTTTGGCCTCCTTGAATCAGAAATTATTTTTTCCACTGGCCCGAGTCATTGTTTGATGATATTTAAGATTATTTTTGTTGTTTTGATATTTTTATTGAAAAATTAAAAAATTGAATATGCTTGGTATAATGTAAAAAAAAAAAAAAAAATTATTCATTAAAAGTCAGGGAAAATATTTTGCTACACCTGTTAAATGACTTTCTGTATTTTAAATTTAAAAAAAAAAAAAATTATTAAATTTTTTAAAATTTATTTATTTTTTAAAATTGATTTTTTATAACTGTTTTCTTTATATTCTTTTTTTAGAAATAAGATAGCCATGCTCATTATGTCTTGACAGTTTACCTCTATGTAAATTGCAGTGGCCCCAAAGACAGAAAAAGTTGATAAAATAAAATCTTTATTTTCTTGTATATAAAGAGTTGAAAATAAGGAAAGTGTTGTAATTGTTATTGTATTGCGATGATTTCTAAAGTAAAATATTAATGAATTTTACTCGTATTTTTAAGCTAATGTGATGAACTTATCAAAAAGATGAATATAACCATTTTCAATGCAAGAACACAATTTTAATGTTTCCTGTAGATATTATTTTCCATAGGTTTCAAAATGTCAGATCTCCCACCCCCGTGCCCCAATAAAAATGGAAAATTTCATATTGTCCTAGTGGATTAAAGCATTGGCCCATGAATTTGGTGACCTAATAATTGTGAGTTCAATCCCTGGGCTGAGCAGTCTGTACTTAGACTCAATGGAAACAGGGCAAACAATAACTGAGCAGAACTAAAAATACTAAAAAATAAAAAAATAAAAATTAATAAATAAAAAGAACCAGACAAAATGTCCCTAGACACTGGCAGTGGAACAGAACAGTCTACCCCCATAGATTAAATAAAGTGTTCAGTATGGAATTCCCTGTAGGTTATCCATTTTGATATAAACCTGATGTAGGCCGGAGCACATTATAGCAAAAACATTGTGATAATGAGGACGAAGATGAGAACAATAGTCTGAATGTAAATAAATGATGAAAATATATAAATTATATATATTACCAATACTTGTTAGTAGTGACAAATCTGTATATTGGATTTGAATTATATTGTTGGAAAATCGAGTCAAAACGATTTCTGAATGAGTTATTGCCAGGAGTAAATGCTGATATGTTATTAAAAGAATTCTCTTACGCATCTGCTTTGTAAATATGATATGTCTGCTAAGCTGAGGATTTTAACTATTCAGCTTATCAATGAAAATGAAGTGTTTTAAGTTAAATTGCATATACACAGAGAAGTGGTTGATTATGAAAAGTATAAAGAAGTTTGTTTAAAATTCTGAGCATATATCCTTTAAATAGTTCCATTTCCTAATAGGTAGCTACTTACCACAAGTTGGATCTTGTGATGGTTTCCTCTGCCTAGAGGGATCCAGGTTTGAATCCTGCCAGTGAGTGTATATTTTTCTTTAATAAAATTTCTCAAATATTCAGACTGGTAGATGAAAATAAAAAAAAACTATATTGTTTAATAAATAAAGGGAGTGTTTACTCAAATATGAGTATTGACTAAAAATAACGTATCATGTGATAAAATGTCATATTAGTAAATAAATATCCATTACTTCTTTTTATATATATATATATAATCTTTTTCCTTTCCTCATTTTTAGGAGACAACACAGCTTATCTTAAAATCTAAATAGTTAAAATTCATTATGGAACAGAAGTTACATAGTTAACTGTCTCTATCGTGAATACATGCACTTGAATCAGAATCACACGAGCTCTTAACTTAACTCTATACCTCTAGTGATTCTGTCTAAACTCCAAAATTTTATTTACAAAATTTTTCTTTCATTCTAATTTAATCTCTTAATTATTTATTGATTTTTCTCCCCCCCTCAATTAGAGTAGATACGTTTACCTATGGTTTGGTCCACACGCTTTCCCTTGTCTTTTGAACAGGAGTACAGGGTTATCCCTTTTTTCTTGTTCCTTGTTTAGGAGTGTCTTTCTGGTTCTAAATCTTCTCATTCTCTTTCACTCCAAGTACCCCCCCTGCATCTTAGTGGCTTTATCACCTTGCTTCAGGGGTACTATTTGTGGACGGATTCCCTATCACTAGGCGTCAGATATTCAAAAACAAGAGACAAGTAAATTTCTAATGTTAATCACCTTCTCTCTGTCAGCCCTGTTTTGATGTGGGCAGCAATAGTGGTTGTGAGGAACATATAGACGCCCTGTGTTTCCTCAGTAGGCACACATCATTCACTTACACAGCTTGAGGGTGACAATTTTCCAAGTAAACTGTACACTGGCTCCCACAAATATGTGGAAAAATAAAACTTTGTTGTATAATTGATGTGCATGCAAGAATAAAGTTTATTGTTTACTCAGTACTGGCAAAAAGGATTATAAAATTTTCTACAAAAAAAAAAATTACCAAAGTAATAGAGAATTGTTCTGTTGTTATATTGAACAGGACGAACTCTACTGCATTCTAAAAATGTTTTCTTTTGACTGATAAGTTTTTGTTCAAATCTATAAAAAGATTTGATTATGTTAAACAAAAGATTATAAGATTTACAGAGTTCTTTTATTACGTTGAATTCTATCAATCCCTTTAAAAAACAAATAATGCCCAACCCTGGACCCTTGACTACCTACAAATTCAAGATCACTCTGTGTTCACTACTGACAAATCACCCAAGCTACAGATTAATTTTTTTTTTAATCATTTTGCACTAAGCAAGTCAATAAAGCTACTAAGATGCTAGGGGTTATAGAGTGTTATGAGAAAAAGAAAACATTATTAAGGAGAGAGAATAATAATAATAATAAAGGAACAAGCATTAAGAAGATAATGATTGACATTACATTTAAATTTTTGAAGATCAAAGTTGATTAGGAAGCAAGGGGCTGGAAGAGAGTTCCACAAGTGAGAAGTGTGAGAGAAGAAAATTTAAGCTTAGAACTTAGTTACACTTAACCATTTCAACTGTAAAATGATGAGATCTAACTGCCAATCTAACACTATGCTTTAATTTGTAAAGTCTAGGTACCAATGAGGAAAGACCATCAGAATAATTACCATGAAAATATTTATAGAAAAGTCAGAGGGGTACTATATTATGGCAATGGGAAAGCGACAGAACTCAAGATCTCAAAGCAGTACCAATTATATTGCAGATTCTTTATTGGATTTTATCAAGAATCTCTAAATGTATAGCAGAAGCATCAGACCAGATGTTGCATCAATATTTGATGCATGGAGGAATGGTAGAGTTATAAATGTGGAAGATAGATTCTGGTGATAAAAAATTATCTAGTATAACACAATGGACCAACTTTGTTAGCATCAGACCTAGCAATTGATTCAGTGTAATCTTTTCACTTTATGTCAGTGGAAAACATTGGCCTAAGAAAGTGCAATGAGTCACTTTCATGGAGGTTAGCATCAGCCATCCTTAATTCTGTTCAACTAGTTTTGTTAACATAGTTAATTCTACTCTTCTGGTGTTACAGAATCACAAAGAACTTTATCAACTAATAAAAACCACTTGAAGACTTCCAACAGCAGTGACAAGTAAAATGAATAGCATATATTACGGTTACATCTAGCCATTTCCACTGAAAAATAATGAGACCTTGCTGACAATCTATTACTGTGCTTAATTTCATAAAGTTTAGGTACCAATGAGGAAAGCTAATCAGAACAATTAACATGAAAGTATTTATAGAAAAGGCACAGGAAAGCTACATTATGGTAATTGGAAAGTGAGTGAAGATGCCAGGTCAGGACCAATAACACTGCAGATTTTTCTTTGGATTTTATCAAGAATATTTAAATGCATAGTAGGAGTACTGGACCATATATGAGAACAATATTCAAAGCATGGATGTATGATAGACTTATAAATATCTAAAATATATTCTGGAGAGAAAAATTGTCTAGCACAACACAGTGAACGAACTTTCCCAGGAGCAGACTGGACAGTTGATTCAATATATCTTTAAATGACCTTGATAATTAAGAATTGTGTGTTTTTTTTTTTTTTTTTTTTTTTTTAGTAATCCCATCCCATTAGTGTCAAGTTGGTTACAACCTAATACTTCAGATATGCTCTTTTCAGTAACCTTCAGCTATAACAAATTAAGTATAGAGGAAAAAGAAACTGAACATAGAATAGAGGCTGTGTTAGATGTAGTTTCGCCTAACACCACAAATTGATATGAAGTTAAAACTTCAACCTGAAAACTTGAGTCATGTTCTAATTAAGTTTAGTGTATAGGGTGACAAAATAGCAGCAAGAAATGAGTGGGTAGAATTTCCATTGTACCGGCACCTCAGTGTCAGGTAATCGCAAGGCTAGACTTGTTGACTTTTACTACTGAGTAAGTGAGTTCAATCCTTATTGGGAGGCTCATGTCTAGCTTTGTTAATAATCCAATGGTTGGCATGTCATAAAATCAACCAATCTAACCTAATTATTTTTTTTTTACTGTTTCATCCAATACAAGGCCCAAGAGCCACTCAAGGCAAAGGGTTAGAAAGCTGAATAAGCTGCTCAGACACTGAGACAAACTTGCTCATTTGGGAGTACACAAGACCCCATTCTGAGAAAGTGTGTTGCTTAGGGTTGAGCTGACATCCCCTATCCCCATTTCCTGTGGGATTATTGTCGGACTATAATACTAAGGAAATACCTATATGGAGATTAGGTTTGATCATATAACTACGGCTGGAGGAACACACATCTGCCTGGGTGTTTTAGTAAAGTTGGTTAATTTGCATTATAATCTGCAAAAACCAATTGTAATGAAAATTTTCCATTATGGTTTGAAATTGCCTGATTATTTTGAAAATAACAATAAAAGTTTGCAGTTGAATACTATTAAATAACCTTGTCATATTAAGACTTTCATATGGATGTCATACATGGTGCCAAACATGTTCAGAAATATCTAAACTGTCAGCTGTATTCAAGATTCTAAGATCAATGGTGAGGCTTTTAATGAGTAAAGCCTGAGGATCTTGGCAAAGATCATTCTCCTTTGAACATTGTAGACTGGCACTATAGAATCATAAATAAGGAACTGTATCAAATAACAGAAACCATATTGCTTGAATTCTGTCAACAGTAGCAACAACTAAAATGGATAGCACATGTAACATGAAGAGAAAATAATGACATAATCAAGATGTTGACATTCCACACTACTTCAAATAAAAGGTTAGGAAGGAAACTCCCATCAATACTGGAAAGAGTGGTAACAGCTTCTGGACTTGAAAATCCTATTTTCCTGAAACATTGTTTTAAGAGAAAAATTTTATAAATTTCAACAAAAAGCAGTACTAGTTGTTCGGTTAATGATAGCCAAATGTTTCCTTATAGGGAAGAAGATATCACTATTACCATTAGTCTTTTCAATGTCATTGCAGTCGGGTTAATAGTAATGAACAAGTAATCATTTTGAAAGAAAATATAGTTTTTCTCATTTTAACTTGAAAATCAGATGACGATCAGTTTTATTTTCTTGCCATTTCCATGTTTATTTTTTTTATTTATAATTGATCAGTAAGTGATTTGATCTGCTGTCAGTTAAGAAAATGGCAGTTCAGCTGTGAAAATGACTCATCTGGACCTTATTTTTTGTTTTTCATACATGACTTTCTCTCTCCCTGTTGGACGAAGAAAACCAAACATTAAGTGACAGCTGCTACTTTGAGAATGATTGATCATATTATAGATGAATTAGCAAATACTTGTTGTGTAAAGTAAAAAATTTCCATCAAATCTATTTGGTTTAACAAATTGAAAGACAACACCTGTTTCGGATGTAACCCCTTGAAGCATATTAATATTTTCATGACTATAAACAATACCTGGTGATTGGTAAAACTGACACTTGGTGGCCTCTGTGTCTGTGTGTAGATATATGTTTATTCTGGTTGCAGTACATTTATGTATATTTGATTGGAAATCCATATTTTTATTTTTTATTTTTATGAACAACAAATAAATAATAAGTGAACTTTCTCTCCATTCTTCTCACATCTTTGACTTGCCAGCCATCTCGTACTTATCGACAAGCTGTTATAACTTAAATAAAACTACTTTATTTTTATAATAGTGAATAGAATGTTATTTGATTTGTTTAACATTCCGGAAATATTGAACATAGATGTGAAAACGCAGGACACCATCAAGCATTCTTTTTATTATTGTGAACTTAAATCTTCTATTAGTGCTGTTTTTTTTTCTCTTAATATTCAGCAAGTGGCAAGTTAAATTTTCCTAATTAAACAAGTAGTTTTTGAATACTTCTGTCTAGTAACTACAAGAAGTATTTTTTTTTAATTTTTTTATTTTAGTCATAATAATTGTATTATGGGGTGTAGCAGAAATACCTCCCACATAATGGTAAGACATTAATTAAATGAAGACACCATTGCTGCTAATGTCTTACCATTACGTGGGAGGTAATTCTACCGTACTCTGTATTTGTGTGAATCACAAGTGATCTAGGGAACACCGGTTGAGAGACACTGCTCTAGACACTCAACACATCCACTGCAGTGATGGTTGCAATACATGTAACATCTCGACAGGGCTTGTGATTATGACCTTTAAATATCATTGCTATCATGAAATTTTGGATCCCATTTAATTTAAATATTTGGGTGATTTTACGGAGGATGCCTAGATTTTTTTGTAATCTAGAGTTTTTAATGAAATTTTAATGGCAGCATTTTAATGGATTAAAAAAAAAATCAATATTGTAATGGGATTTTAATTGCTTCATTTGTAATGGGTTTTAATTGCATATTTTTTTAATGGACTTTTAATTGCAACATAACACTAAACTATTTTTTTGTTAGAACTTAGCATTTATTGCTTCCTAGTGGCCATTGCCCATACTATAAAGAAACATTTTGGTTTTCTGTTGTTTGGAAAAAAATAGAAAAATGTATTAGGATATTGTCAGTTAAATCTTTATTGTATATAGTTAAATAAAACTATGAAGGTTTAGTTCAATTACCAAAGAAAATTTAGTGGTCATAATATTAACTGTCATTGAGTTATATATTTATAAACAGACACAGAAAAACAGAAAAGACATTTAATGATTTATCACAAGATAAAGGTCTTTGTTAATGCTTGTATATTTTAATGAAAATTTTCTTTTCCCAATTTTCAGGATCAGTATGCAAACTCATTGATGACTGACAGCAATATGACTTTCAGAGTTCCATTACACAAAATGGTAAATACTTTTATTTTTTTTATTTTCAGTTATTTAAATAGATGTCAGCTTTGCATTTGAATATAGGTACTGAATAAATCTATGACACAAAGTGATCATCCGAAAATTGTCTTGTGTTAATCACTAAACCTTTTAAGTTTAGCTCCTTTTTTTTTTCCACTGTCTTTGTAATTTATTTAAAGTCTTTTCTGAGTAAGGACCTTATATGTTTATCCCCAATTTTTAAGTTGATTTTAGAATACCCTTTCAAACATAAAAAAAAGAATCTCACATACATTAATTAAATAATTTATTCTTTGTTACATAAAGCATGAAGATATCTCCAAAAATATGTAGCATTTTAAAGTGTAGGGCATTGGTTAGTTAGGCTTATCTAGTTGAACATTATGATTAAGTAGTGAGTTTGTTCTTCACTGGGTATCCCATACAAAACAAATGTGACATTAAATAGACCAACAAAGGTTGACATGTTGTAAAAAGAAACAACTGCACAACCAAGAATATACTTGTAGTTATTCTGTGTTTAATTTATAGATGGTAACTTTGATTTATCGGGAGATATGTTGGGAGACCCAACTATGGGTTAAATTGCAGGGCCGACTGAGCTCTTCAGCCAGTCTAGGAGATGTAGATCTCTGAATTCAAAACCAGTTGGACTTTGGGCTAGCAACTTCATTCCATGAAAAAGATTCTTGCTATATAAACCACAGCAGCAGTGCCTGGCATATTGAGCTATAGGTGAAATAGTAGGGTAGATTGGGCTGTTCAACCTTGGTTGACAACCTGTCTAGGAGATTTACAACTCTGAATTTAAAACTAGTTGGGCTTTAAGCTAGCAACTTACTATATAAGCCACAGCAGCAATGCCTGGCATGAGTTAAATAGTAGGGAAGATTTGGCTGTTCAACCTTGGTTGGCAACCAGCCTAGGAGATGTACAACTCTGAATTTAAAAAGAGTTGGGCTTTGGTTTAGCAACTCTACAGTTTGAGTGTATAGGAATTAAGAGAGAGATGTTTCTGGGATTTAATTAAGCTTAGTGTATAGGGTGACAAAATAGCAACAAGAAATGAGTGGATAGAATTTCCATTGTGCAGGCACCTTAGTGTCAGGTAATCGCAAGGCTAGACTTGTTGACTTTTACGACTGAGTAAGTGAGTTCAATCCTTATTGGGAGGCTCATGCCTAGCTTTGTTAATAATCCAAAGGTTGTCATGTCATAAAATCAACCAATCTAACCTAATCATTTTTTTTTATTGTTTCATCCAATATAAGGCCTAAGAGCCACTCTAGGCAAAGGGTTACTAAATGTGGCTGTTGCTCAGGAATCAAAGCTGTAGAACTTCTTGGGATAGAAACATCATAGGGTGCCCAGAAACTGAGACAAACTCGCTCATGTGGGAGTACACAAGACCCCATTATGAGAAAGTGTGTTGCTTGGGGGTGAGCTGACATCTCCTATCCCTATGGGATTATTGTCAGACTATAGCACTAAGGAAATACCTATATGGAGATTAGGTTTGATCATATAGCTGTGGCTGGAGGAACACACATCTGCCTGAGTGTTGTAGTAAAGTTGGTTAATTTGCATTATAATCTGCAAAAACCAATTGTAATGAAAATTTTCCATTATGGTTTGAAATTGCTTGATTATTTTGAAAATAACAAAAGTTTGCACTTGAACACTATTTAGGATACACTCCCATTTAGCATAGCAAATTTTATTTATTTATTTTTTTTTTTGTGACAGACACATTAATTTGCAAAAATCATATAATTATTGGATTTTCAGGACTTATTCACAAATGAATTGAATTTTTAAAAAATTTCCTTTATTAGAAAATCTTGGTAAAAATATTTTTGTTTTTTCTTTTTTACATGTTTCACCCCATTACTTAATTTTATGAAAACTTGAGAAATTCAACATGATAATTTTTAGTGACCATATTACTTAAAAGCAGAATTCTTTAAAGAATTTAAACCATCAAATTTTTTTTTCAAAATTAGACCCTGTCTTAGAAAAAATCTGTTCTGAATCAAAAAATATAAAAAACCCAATAAAAGAAAGATGTAATTTAACTAAAGAAGCTTTTAATTGCTTTTGTGAATAATAAATATTAAAGAGAATATTATCTGAAAAAAAAAAATTCTATGAAAAAAGAATTTTTACAAGATTTGTTTTCATCCTTTGACAATTTTAAATTGAATAATTTCTAAAGTTTTTATTCATCTTTAAAAATTCAGTTTCAATGGGGTAAATCTTACGAATTATTGCTATTAAGTAAAACTATATTTACTGATCATCTATTGTAAAACTTATTACAATATGATGACCTTAAATATTTTTAAAAGAATTTTGATTTGTTTTTATATGTGTATATATGGGCAGAATTATGGATGTTCAAACCTAGCATTATCATTAAAAGGTCACATGTTTTAAGGATTGACCCCACTTACAGGAGAAAAAAACCCTCATATAAACTTTATCGTCTGCTCCACCATACGAATTCATTTGGAGATCATTTAGCTGTCAATAAATCTATTAACACACAAAAACAAGATCATGTGGTTAGAAAAATGCTTGTATACATTTTATGCTATAAGTAAATAATATTTGTTTCATATCAGATTAATTTAACTTTAAATTTGCTAATTTTCCTCAAATAACGTTTCATATATATATCTATATTTCATAATGTGTATATATATATATATATATATATATATAATTTTACTCTTGCAAAATTTTTAAAACCAAGAATTAACTTTTGTTTACAAATGTGTCTATTTTATTGATTTTTCTGAAAGAAAAAAAAATGATTTTGATCAATATAATTTCTGTTTGAAATATACCTCAGTATTTTGCTTACTGGAAATAATAAATTTTAATTAAAGATAAAATGAAAGCTTCAAGAAAGCTTTTTCATTTTTAAAAATTCATTTCAAAACCTTACGTATACTGAAGTAGTGGAGGTACCTAATTAAAACATTACTTCCTTTGAATTTTATCTTAATGGCCTATCTATTATAATTTGGTTTTGTCTATTACAATGAATGGGCATGCTTTCAAGCAGACCTCTTGCCTTGAACGCCTATTGGAACTTAAACTTACCCCTGACCTCAAATGGAACTTTTATATATGATCCATTGCTAAAGATACTGGAAAAATGGTTGGTTCCCTGTACGGGTCCAGTAAGTAACTGATTTCTTGTGCTATCCACTACCTTTACAAGAACCAGATCGGGCTGAAAATGGGCTACTGATGCAATATCCAAGCAGGAGCTGCCCAGAATTCACTTGCCAATTTTGGCAGAATCCAGATCCATCTACATGGCCATGTTGGTGATGAATTATTCACCACCTTACAACTACTTTGCCCAGAGACAGAATATTGCAAGCCTCTCATTACTCAATTGCTGTTTATATGAACAGTGTTCAGACAAGCTAGGTCCCTTAGTCCCAACAACTTTAACTCTTACAACTAAGATCTTCCACACTGCGTACACTGAGGCCAACCACTATCATTCCCTTCATATTCCATTTCCACTTGATCCGCTACTTTGTGGAACTGACTCTCAAAAGGATGCTTTCTTGATTACTACAATCTTAACCTGTTCAAATCTAGGGTTAATGAAGATATTTATCCCACATAACTTTATAGACTGCACCTCTTATCTCTTACTCTTTCCATTCACCCAACAATCTCTTTCAGGAGGAACACACTATCTCAAGTGACTTGGGCCTCACTGAAGATGAACCTTAATAAAAATAGAAAATACAATATTGATTATTTTTTTTATATAGATAAAAAAAATTGTTGTTCACGTATGACTTAGGGTCGAAAGGAACGCTTGACACTTCTTTGAAATTTTTGTTTATCATCATTTGTATCTCTCTGTATTATCATTTTATCATGTATTTTATAGGAAACACTTCCCTTTTCATTTCTTAGATATATTTACAGTGTCAATTTATTTTACTGTCCCAGGTAAGATGATAAACTACATCCAGCAGCAAGGCCTCTGATCAGGAGGTTTTGAGGAGGGTGAAACCACCACTTAATTGCTGGTGTTCCAAGGTCTACCCTGAGCTGGGGTTGTAACACCTGTTAGGGTCCCAGCTATGGGCAAATAGTTAACCCCCAAACTGGGGTTAAAACACTCTGAAAGTGTAAAAATAGGTTTTAATACCAGAAACACTTTTTTGTAAAAATTATTACCAGCAATAAATTTTTGAAGAGAAAAAATTATTACTAGAAATAAAAATTTTTATAATAAATTTTTAAACAACTCATTGAGGTTGATATGCCAAAAAATAAGCCAAAACAAACAATTTATTTTAATGATAATCATTTACTGTTTTATTCTGAGATTTTATATGTTATTGAAGTCACTTTAGATCAAAGAAATTGCTTGGAAGATACACCATCAGACAGTTCCGAGTAGTTAATTGGCTATTGTCTTTTATTTTCAGCCAATGAGACATCGGAAGGTTAAAGTGGACAAGTTCCCAATGTGCCGTCCTTTGGTGTGTGCACTCCTTGGTAAGGATTTTGCCTTTTTTGTCTCTTTTACTTGAAAGTCCCTAAAATATGGTATTTGTACTCTTGGAATTTACCAAATATGCTCAGCATTTGGTCATTTGAGATTTCTTTTCAGTACTTTGGGACATCTTATAAATTCAAAATATATACTTTAAGAAAGGATAGAGATCCATGAGAAACTTGTATTTCATATTACAAGCCTTGTTATTTATTTGTTGTGCAACATTAGAAGCATGGTTATGTATTGATCTTTAAAGCCATTAATAGTCAGTTCAGTCCTCATTTGGAACATCAACCTTATTTTAAAGAAAATAAAAACAGTATATATTTGTATGGTGATATTCTAAGCGCAGCTTAGATGTGGCACAAGGCCAAAAGTATGGGTAACCCAGTGAAGGTTGAACTCATTATTATGTTGTAATGGTTCTAGCAAGACAAGCCTGATGACCATGACATCAAGTTGAAGTTCCCAAGTATATATTTGTGTGAATCATCATTCGATCTGAAATTGTTCAATAAATGTTAGCCTCCAGGCAAAATCTTAGTGACAACAGACAAGGGGATAAGTGAAGGATATTAAACAATATGCTTTTGTTGGAGGGGGTGCCAAATTTGATATAGAGTGAGCTTATAGCTCAAGTTGTCTCCGAAAATGAATTCATGTACATTTCAAGAAATCACTGGTTATTATGGATGTGATTTCCATTATGCAGAGGCCTACATTTTATGACAGCTGTCTAGTTCAGAACAGCTTTTGCTGGAATAAAGACTGTCTTGAAATTTTGTTTGCAAGTATCCGATGTTCTTGGAATAGAAATCTTGATTGCTTTGTTGCATGGTTTAGAATATGTCGATTGCATCCCCTGCAGAGGGGTAAGCTCTCTCCCTCTCCAATAAGGTTGAATACATGCAGACTTTGGTAAAGACTCAACCAATGTCTACATTTTAGATTAAAGTAAACTGCAACTATGTCTCCCTTTTTGACTTAGCTGTAAAGATGGGCCTCTGTCTATTTTTTGGATTCTTAAAAACACTGTACCTATGTCTCGCCTTTTAACTCTGGTGTCAGCTCGACCAATGCCTGTCTTTTTGACTATTTTTTGATTCTGGAGTAAACTATATCTATATCTAACCATTTGATTCTGGTGTCAGCTAGTGCAATACCTGCTTTTTTGATGCTATTTTTTGGATTCTGGAGTAAGCTCTACTTACATCTAACCTATTGATTCTGGTGTCAATATGACTGATACTTGCCTTTGTGGCACCTGTGTAGGCCAACCCTATGTCTACCAGTGGTGACTCTAAGTCAATATTTGTCAGGCTCATTCCACTCTTTAACAAAATATACTATTGCTATAAATTAGATACTAAAATGATTCCTTTACTCTAACTAAAATATATAATTTTAAAAAGCACTAGGCATATGTTTTTTCTTTTTAAAAAAAATTGTGTATCTATCTTGAGTGTGTGTTTGTATACATGTTAGTGTGTTTATGTATCTCGCTGTGAATTTTATGTTTATGATTACTACTGCTGACTGATATTATATTTCCTCAACTCTACCCTAGTCACACTCCTCATCCCAACCCTCCAGTTGATGAGTTAAGGCTTTCTTTGATTTTCACTGACTTTAGGTCAGGCTAAATTTAATTTGCCCTTTTTAAATTGATACATTGTGCTGAAAAACCTTATACTCTACGGAATAAATTACTTAAAATGGACATTTGAAAAGAGAAAGTTGAAATAAAAATGTGCTCTTTGAAAAACAGCGCATACAAGTCATTAGAGATTTTTAAAAGGTTATTTATAAAATTAAAGGAATAAATACATTGCCTATTAAATGTCTCCATCTCAGATAGGGCTCAGATATACTTAGCCCAACTAGCCATGTTAGTTTTATTTCATTCTTTTATTATTTACTTTCTTTCTTTGTTTTTTTTTTCTTTCTTCTTTCTTTATTATGAACAATACCAATGAAATTTATTTTGGCCAATATTTTAAGGTATGGAGTTAAAACAATCTTGGATCCAGCTGGCGTCAAGAATGAAAATGACACACTACAAAATATTTTTGCTGCTTTGGAATAGATATACATGAATGTTGACTTACGCAGCTGATGTCTACCTATCTATTAATTCATTATATTCAACATTAAAATCAAACCATCCAGGTTTGCTATGTTATTAAATTAACCAATTTGTACCTGATCAAGAGATCTTGACCAGCAAAAAATGTTCTGGCCATAGGTATTGTCTGTTAGTTCTATTTAATTGTTAACATGTCCAGTTATTACTTAGCATTTTCTCATCTCAGAACTGGGCATACCCAAAAGCAAAAAAGAAAAAGAAAGCTGTATAAGTTATCATCACTTATAATAAAATATACAAGAGTAGATGCATTAAGTCTACCTCTGCAAGTGAGTGGAAAGACTCCAAACCAATTTATATATTTTTTATAATTCTGGAAAAAAAAAAAAAAAAAAAGAGAAGAGTTTATTTATGTAGTTGCTCATTTGATGTTGTTAACACATGGAGCCGTCTCAGAGATTAAAATTAATATATAAGCATTTGATAGAAGTATCAAAGAATGGAGTCTAATAGTTAGAAGATCAGTCTCAATATTGTTTTTCATTTTTTATGATCCGCTATAAGGCTGGGGTAGGAATGTTTCATCATTTTCTGAGATCCCTTATGTAAAGATAGAAAGGCAGGCTTGCTTGTATATCTCAGTTTGCAAATTCATAAGTAACTGCTGAAAAATAAAACAAAGAAAAGAATGTTAAAATATATATAAAATTGTATGTTAAAATATTAAGAGTTTCAATAATGAAGTTTAATATTTTTTCCTTGAAAATTCATTTGTATTCTTTTGATTTAAATTGTCCTTATTTTTTCCGTTTCAGACCTCATGGTAGAATTTATTTTGAGTCACTTAATGAAGAACTTTCCTTCTGAACTTCACTTGTAAGTCATGCACAATAATTCTAAACAAACTCTTTGTTTTTTATTGCAACCTTCCTCGGCTATTCTTTTGTCACTCATGTACCATTTAGCTACTGCTAATTCTCTGTAGAATCTATTGTTTACTCTCTTCATAAAACTCACTGCTCTGTCTCTTCATGGGACTGGCTGCTCAGTATAACTTAAACATTTAAAATTTGTCAGGTCTATGGATAAATACATTAAAGTCATCAACTCCTATAAAATATTAATACCATAAATTGCATATTGCACCAGGTAGTTTTTTGATAGTACTGCTACATATCGTATGTTATTAATAATTAGGAGTGTTGTCCTACTTGTTTACAACTCGGTGGTAAATGTTTGCATTTTATACCCACTATATAAGAACCCTAGTTTTGGAAAGATTTTTTACACTTGAAAAGTCGACTTGTATGTTGCAATTCACAGTAATCCAAATTTTACACACTGCAAATAATAGTTGCTGTTTTTATCCAATAAAAAATTGTTAATTTTCTTTATTATCCATTAAATGGAAACATTTATCTGCATTAATTTGTCAACAGATGAGGATGCTGGATTTATAATTATTTCCGTTGTTTTTTTTCACCCCATAAAGAATTCATATTCTGCATATCTATTTTATGGAACAAAATTGGCTAAAAAACCTTTTTTTCCAAGGAAAAATCATAGTGAAGGATGAATCAAATTTAGTAATATATATATATATATATATAAAAGTTGTTACTACATTCAAAACAATAAGACTTAGTACTAAACAAAACAATAAGCTAAAACCTGAAGCAGTAGTATACTCCATTGCCTGTAATAATTGTCACAAAAAATACATTAGAGAAATCTCAAGGAATCCAAATAAAGAATTATATGAACACAAGAGGGACATTTTACAAAAAAGTACATCAAATGCATTGGTTTCCCACCATAATGAGACTGACCACAATTTTGACATAAAAAATGCTACTGTGATTAAAGGAGACAATAATTCATTACAATGTAAATATCTAGAGAGTGCCTTGACCACAAGGTCATCTACAGTAAATTTGCACTCGGGCTCTTATACCATTTCACCATTCCTGGCAGATCTTTTATTATCACAGTGTGGGTTACCTACTAACAAAAATGATGGAAAGAAGAAGACTAAATAAATATGGTTAGATATAAAAAAAAAAAAAAAATTTAAATCTCTAGCACCCCTTATTCATGCGCATATATAGTGGCACCATATTTACTCTGATGAAGTCCTGAAGGACAAAATGTGTCACAAGTAAACTTTTTCCACTTTGTCATTCAATTTCACGAATACTGTTCTTGATATATAAAAATATATATTGTTATCTTATATATATATATATATATATATATATATATATATATTTATATATATAAAAAGAAATGGACAAAATCCGACAAATTGTCGGACTTTGTCCATTTCTTAATGTATGACGTCATTTGTTTACATTTGATACACCATGAGCAGTTATGAATGTACGAGATTCATGGAAGATTGAAGTTTATAAGCAGTAAATTCGACCTTAGATTGAATGCTTAGGCACGTCAAGCTAAATTGGTTCCGTTATAGGATGCAGGTTCAAATCCTGTCAAAGGACGAATATTTTCTATGAAAATTCTCGGACATTCAGGCGGTAAATGTTATTTAATACTGTTTATTATAAACAGAGCATTTACTTAAATACTTGTATCTATAAAAGAATGTTAAACATAAAAATGTCTTTAATATATATATATATATAAAAAAACAGACCATTATTCCATGTAATAAGTTATTTCACCATAACCCCTTTAACAGGGTTCTGGATCATCAGACTTTACAAAAATGAAAATGAAAAGAAATGTCATCAAGTATACGTAAAATTAATGAAGAGGAAGTGAGGTGGGAGTGAAGATATGAGTGTGTCATATGTATCATTTCATTTCCTATTTTTAACCCCATTTAACTTCTATTAAAGGAAAATTTCAATTACACGACAGGTTTCATTCAAATTCTTAGACGCTGTTAATTTGTTATTTAACGTGCATATTTGGGAGGTTAAGGTTTGATAAATATCTAAATGTCTAAACAATCTATGAAGAAAAAATTTCAAAAAAAAATATATATATATATATATATAGGGAAAATAAATTGTCAGGCCTGTGATTTAAAATGTTTATAGTACGATAATACTAAAACTTTGGGAGCAACTTTGGTACTGTATTATCGTAAGATTTCTCCCATTTGGGAACAAGGAATATGTCTGATATGAAGTTCAACAATGTAACCAAGAGAGCAGAGGAAACAAATGACAAATGTTCAATGTTTATAGAAATAAGAAAAAGTAATTTTATTTACAATATAAACAACAGTTATATGTCGACAAAAAGGAATAGTTCTTGAATTGTGCTAATAATTGGTTTAAATGTTATGGGAATTTTCCCAGCCATTTAACATCAAATATGTTAAAAAAATTATTTTTGTGCCATGAACAGAAAGAAAAAGGATATCTCAGCTATTTTTTTCATCTGAGCTGTTGTATTTTTTTATAATTAAAATTTTTCATATGATCACTAAGGATCTTAATAATGGGTTATAAATTTAATTTGACCCTTTAAAATCGTCACTTAACTCTGCAGGATATTTAAAAAAGTAGAATTTTTTTCTCTCACAAAAGCTCAATCTTCGTGAAGAGATCTTTCGCCCAGTTCTGTGTTTTTCATTGTCATAGAAATAATGATCAATTCTGCTGCTGCTGGATAAGCCTTCTTGCTGTAGGTTGATCAAGGCCAATACCAACAAAACTTGTATGAAAGGTACAAACTTGCTCCTTTGTGATCTACTCCAAGGTGTGGCTAAACTCAAACAAGTCAATTTGCATATGCACAATAAGCTATATGAGCAAAATAAACAGATTCGTTGCTTTTTCTTTCATTTTTCTGTTAGTATACAAGAATCAACATTAAAGCAGAAAACAAAACGTCTGCACCAAAATCATTAAACTAGCAGATGATATGTCTACTAGTTTGACACTTGGATACATTTTTTTTATTTATAAAATAAAATACAGTGTATCTTCAAAATAAGTGTACATACGAAAATATAACAAAATGGTTTATTTTTATTATTTTAATTTGAAACACACACACACACACACGTATATATATATATATATATATATATATATATATATATATATATATATATATATATATATTAAAAAAAAACAATGTATCAGGGGATTTAGGCCAAAATCATGAGGATGCCAAAATACTGAAACCAAGGTAGCATAATTGGTTGATCTAAATTTTTTAGATTTAAAAGCTCTACATGTCAAATTTTTATTTTCTTTATGTGTCTTGAGCATTTTTTTTACTACAACTGTCCTTGTCTGACCAATAACCATTTTATAATTTTATATATATATATTCATTTATACACATCTCATTAAAGATGACAGACAAGGTTCTACGATTAAGCTTTTTATTTAGTTTTTCACATGTTCGAACAAGTGTTTTCTTTTTTGGACACAGTTTATGTAGAAACTGTAGAACATTTGGACCATTTCTACACACTCTGTCCAAAAAAAAGAAAACACTTATTTGAACACAAGAAAATCTAAATAAAAAGCTTAATCATAGTGCCTTGTCTGTCATCTTTAATAAAACATATATATATATATATATATATATATATATATATATATATATATATATATATATATATATATAATGTAAGGGTACAACATCATTATGACTGTTTTGTATATGTAATGGAAGGTAGCAGAAATAGTTTTCTCTTAGCTGATTTTCATTTTTGTTTTTCTTTCTCCCTTAGGCGATGTTTGGGTATTATCCACAGAGTACTGTGTTATCAGAAAAAGTGCCGTGTTCGGTTGCAGTATGCCTGGAAGGACCTATGGACTGGTTAGTCTCACAGGACTACTTCTGTTTTTAATGTTATATGTTTTGTTTTTTTTATGTTGAGTGATATTTTATCAATTTATATTGAAAAAAAAAACTTAATAAAATTCCTTTCAAAGGTATTTATCTTGTAGCAGGAAAGTATTTCAATTGGTTTGTACACCCAAATAAAGATACTCACAGGACGCTTGCTAACATTTATAAATTAAAGACGTGAAATCTGACATGTGGAACAAAAAGTGACAACAGAATGAGGAATTTTAAAATTAATTCAAAATTTATTCAGAATACAGACCAGAGTCCTCATAGGTCAAATTAGCATGTAAGTTCACAGTTTGAAAGTCTAAGTTCACATGTCCAGTGAAATTGTTGAAAGTTGCTGGTCAAATCCAATGATGAACTTTCTGTAGTATTTTAACCAAAATGCACGGAGTAGGTTATTTGAAGTCTGGAGAATATGCATACTGTGATTTCCTAAACCAGGTGAGTTAGATTGCTGGAAAGCCAGAAGCAGGGACCTAGTGTAGTCAGAAGTTCAGGGCTGTTGTAAGCAGGTCTATTAACGCAGATCAACCAAGTGAGTTAGGTGAAGATAGTGATACCAGAAGAAGTGGGGGACAAATGAATAGCCGAAAGTTCAGGGTTGTTGTGAGCAGGTCCTTTAACACAGATGAACCAAGTGAATTAGGCCAAGATAAGAGTTGAAAGTAATGACAGGCAGAAATACTGGAAGTAAGGGTCCGTGGTAGCAGGAAGTAGCAAAGAGAAGAATGCCGTAAGTAAGGATAGATAGGAAAGCCCAACTAGCATCCAGTTAATAGACAAAAATAAATGGGAATGTAACTTAATACATAACCTGTCCAAACGCCATGGCCACAATGGCCAGGGCCCTGTGTTTCTCCTCTTTTCTCAGAGGTGCTACGAAATATAAAGATATAAAAATGTTCACAAAATGTATTATGACTAGGTTCGTAACACTGAAAGAACTACAAAGTCATTAGGCTTATTATGGATCTAAATGAACTTAAATTGAAGGGAGTTGATGAAGCAATTAAAAAAACAGTCAAGGTCATAAGGTCTGCCCTTGGAGTAGTGAAGGGCTACGATAGAACTAAGTGTGAAATTTGCTAGCCTCTTACAACATTCTTGCAATTACTATGGCAGATGTTCAATGTTTAGTCTCACCATTTTCAAGCTTCACATTTAGGACCCACCTTGCCATGATCACAGTGGCAAATCATCCTCATCTCATTTGTTTTCTTTTTAGTAAGGAGTAAGTTCCACTTGGACACTTTCTTCTCTGGAACTGTTACTTTGTGCAACAGACTCCCAAGAGGATGCTTCCCTGACCACTGCAATCAGGGGCAGCTGATGTCTATCCTGCATATACTCATAATAAGCACTTCTTACTTCCACCTTCTTTATATGGGCAGTGACTCAAAATGAGAAGTTGAAAAGCTGATTTTGAATTCCAGTTGGGATCATTATTTCCACTTATGTGCAATATCCATGGGAATGGTTTGAATCCGTTTTTTCTCAACAGTAGGACTTGTAACTGGAAAAAATCCCTGTTAATCTCAAAAAATTGTTAATACACTATTCAATCAAATTATTCTTATAATCCAAAATATGTTTTGACTTTAACTAACTCACTGAGGGTTGATAATCCATAAAAAACCAAATAATTCTCTTCCCTTGCAACAATTCCACTCAGTAATCCTCTATGTTGAATGACACCTGGAGGCTTGTATTGAGTGAACTAAAATAAAAAAAGAAAAAAAAATTGTGATTTTTAAAAGATTTTTTTTTTTTTTTTTTTTTTTAAATCATTTCACTCCAAGCAAGAAAATAAAAAATGCATTTCATTTTCAGCTTGTAAGTGTCTTTTGTGCCACCCTGTATTTGTATTAGTGCCGTTAACGTTCATTATGTAAAAAATATAAATAAATGAAGAACCAGCATTTTGATTGTTCTACTCTCTCAGCTGGCTTTTCTGTTGTGGGTGGCTGTAAAAGTTAAATTTATCAATGCAAACTAAATTCCTGATATTTTAATATAATTTCATTATTATTGGGCAGTTCTTAAGACTTACCAAAATCTCATGGAGAAATAAGTGAAGAATTTTTCTCTTACTTCAATATGGAATTTTAACCTTTGTTTTATAAATTCTAATGTACATGTAAAAGTGAAATGTATCAACAGTCCAAGAGGTGTTGGATAGGGTGTATCTGGTGCGTTTGGAATGAATTTGTTTCTTCTCCCTACTTTGCTCGTCTGGGCCTTCATGTTGTTTACCATGACATGGTCATGTGATGTGTGGTAGCCATTAATAATTACGTATAGCTCAAGACTTCAATGTTAAGATAAAACAGTCTTTAATTACAACCACAAATAAATATTGAACATGAACAAAGAAGTAAAAGTCAACCAAAAATAATTAACCATTTCAGTGAATACCTCGTTAGTAGTGCGGCTTGGCTTAACATCTGGTAAATCCTAAATCGAAACCCAAATCATCAACTGTTATATACCGTACATATGAACACTAATGGGTATGTCCCAATCCTCATAAATACGTTGGACACTATTGTAAGTGGGGTTAATATGCTGTCTAAGTAGTCCACCACTAGTAGTGGTTTACCTACTTCACGTAACTGGCAAGTATTGTATTTTGTTGATGTTATAAAGATTACCATTTTCATTTCCAACCTCCATTTTGATTATTCCTCATTCAGTAACCCTTTCTAGATTACAGCATTGATACACAATTATTCACACTAATTCAACTAGATAATTCCACTCAATAGTCCCTCAATAATCACTGCAGTCAGTAGCCTGACACTGCTATCTATACACCTGGTGGAAAACATATATTCATAAGTCCAGAGTATCATGCTCAAACCTCGGTGTCTGTAGTCTTCTTGTATGACACATGGGCTGTGTCCTTTTGATGAATTGGTTCTTTGGAGGATATTGTGACTGATTAGCACAGATGACACAATTGATACACTTGAACAGGGGTGGTTGTATGGATTAATATGCATGTCTTGGATCCATTGAATGACTATAAAAACTGAACAACAAATGCTGGCAGTCATTGTTCAGCTTTTCTAAACATGTGATGAAACATTTTTGGAATGGACAATTGCTACAGCAGCAGTCATGTCACAAGATCCATAAACCATTAGTGTCGTAGGGGTGTCAGTGTACTGCATCCTTAGTATCAGTGGTGTGTCTAGGGCAAGATCAAGCAAACACCTCATAGAGAAGTTAATTTAGATTCCAGTCCAAGTTTTTACAGTCTTCTGTAAAACCTTCTTGAGAGATAAACTGTTTGAGGGTGTAAAAAGCCAAGACCAAACTTTCTTCCTCTGCTGGTTGTAAAATTTGTAGTCTTTGTATCTTTGGTAAATCTCTTGTTTCTTTAACTACTGACTCCCATAAATGACCAATCCATATTTTAAATCTAACATTATTCACTATGGTAAGTACTGATTTGAAGGTCCTGATAATATTTGGCTCTATCGGTAGGGTCTAGAATATACAAGCTGCATCCCCTGCAGAGAGGGTAAAACTACCTCCCAAGTTGGTACTTGCAGAATCAAGCATAGACTTAACCAATGTTTGTCAATAGACTCAAGTATAAAATTGACCATTGTTTACCAATAGCCTCAAGTATAAACCTGAATCAATTTTTATTTTAGGCACAAGTATAAACATAACCAATATTTACTTATAGCCTTTAGTATAAGAAGAAAAAATAAACAGATTCCTCCATTGAATAACCCTGCAGAGTTTAATATGTTTTAAAATCCATCAACCCGTCTTTGTAAGACTAGAAATCATGAATTAAAAACAAAGTTGAATTAATTTGCACACACGAGTACGCCGAAAGTACAATAATTTAAACCATACATCTTTATAAGGAGGGATTTGAAAAGCAACTTGAATAGCATGAATATTTTAAAAACTTAAAGCAAAGTGATTTCTTGTTTCTCTGCTGACAAAAAATATGTAAAGTCACTTCTACTGTTCCATATGTTTTTTGATCCTTAATTTTTTCAAACACTTATTCGTCATCTTGATAATTAATTTAATCTGGCACATGTACAAAGTGCAATGGATAAATTGCTGCCATTTTATATTTTTAATTTTGCATATGTTTGTTTTTGCTTTTGTCGACTACACAGTATATATTAGGACCAGTTGGGAACTGTCTGTAGGAAAAAAAAAGCCCCAATGCTGCAATTCATTCTGCCAGAAATTTGGAAGCGGCATGCACCAATACAAACATTTCAGAGTGTTTTGGTGTCAATCTGAGAACAGTGCAGAGGATTCAGAAAGAGTTGGATGAGTCTAATGGTGATTATGAAGGTACAGCAGCTCAAAAAAAAACTCACTCTGATTGATCTGATAAGAAAAGAACTCCCAGATTTGCTAGTGAGGGCTTCAGGTTCAACATGGAGGCCTATATCAAGTGCTTGTGGAAATAGTGCTGCCCTAGGTCAAGAGGGTAGCTACTGGAAGACCCTATTTTTGGCAACAGGATTCTGCACCATGCCAGACTAGCAGATTAATCTAGTCATGGCTGTAAGACAATTTCTCTGACTACATCGCCCCTTGATTCCTTGCAGTTTTGGCAGAGAATGTAAAGGTGAAATGAGCTTTTCCCTAAAAGTAAGTCTGTAGGAATATCGAAAAGTCATAGTGAGAACTGAGACAATGAAATCTCATTTCTTATAAGAAGAAACATGTTTTCACTCTTTGTTTGATATTGTATGATTATTTGGTAAAAAGTTTGATGCATCTAAGTAATTATAATTTAATCCTGAAAGAATGTCATTTTCTTGAAATAATTATAAAATTTGAATTTTCATATTTAGATTTTAGCATTAAATAATCCATATAGGTTGTTATACCGCTAAAGAAAAAACAACGAAACATTTTCAAATATCATCCAAATTCCCTTTTCTCTGTTATTAATCCGATCATGAAAGATTATTATCAAGTCATTAGGCAAAGTATTTTTATTATTCCACAAATTCTTCAGATTAAAACTCTTCTATTTGCTTCTATCACACTTTCAACATGTATCTTTGTTATACCCGAACGTACCTATTTCTATTGTACATAGACTCTCCCACAGATAAGTAGTAGTAGTAGCAGTCGCCAGGGGAGCTCATTGAGTTGTGTGAGTCAGTCGATGTCGGACATTAAAGTATGAGCCCCACAACTAGATTGCTGCGTCATTAACTATATTTCAAGTTCCCAACGTTTTGTACGTCGAACCTAATTTAGGACCGACTTAGTGAAATACAAGCCCCACTGTGAAAACTACTCTATAACAATCTTCTTGAGCCTCTTTTTATAATGTTTTTTTTTTTGTACTTAAAAAAAATCCCTTAGTTCAGCTCCCTGTGTTGCAGTTTCTAGGTTCTTATCAGTGAGGTGTTCAACCGAGAGGTAGTAACTTTTGACCAACTACAGGATAAATTGGTACATGGGGTTGAACAACAGGAAGAATGTCCATGGTGGAGATAATATAGTATTGCTGGGTGGGGAACTTCTGAGACTGAAGTCAGTTGCCAGGTCAGAGAGTTGCCTTAATGGAATCAATGACCACATGCCTTCAAGTTGGAGGACATTAGCTGTGGTCTAACCTAGAGAGACATGGGCTTAGCTAGGTTTACTTTGCCCAAGGCATGCTGCACATGAATGAATGCATAACCAACATGTGGTTGGAGCTGATCAGAAGATCAATTATACAGAAAATGACCACACCAGGGCAAGGAAGGAATGATGAGGGCATACCATAAACTTGGAGAGGTTGCACTTTATCAATAAAAATAGTTTTTCAGCTCATAAATTCAAGTACACATAATATGATTAGTTCATTTTTTTTTTACACTCCAAGCAAGGTAACAATATCACTAAGACACAAAGTAAAAGTGAAAGTTTTGAAGAAACTGGAAACCCAATACTGAACAGAAAATGAGATAAACTTCTACTCCTGTTAAAAAAAACTGAGAAAGAGTGTGAACGAGATGATAGCTGAACCTACCTACCTACTCCTGTTGAAGGAAAAAAAAAATTAATAGTAAATAAAATTTCAGAGTTTGAGCAGAGACATTAGGAGTATAGATTTGAAGTAGACTTTAGGAAGAACTGGAATCCTTACCTGAACAAGAAAGAAGGGATAAACCGCTACTCCTGTTCAAAAGACCAAGGAGGAGTCTGAACAAGGCGGCGGACAAAACTATCTATTCCTCATTTGTTCAGGAATCAAGGAAAAGTCTTACCAGAATATCCATGGTGGAGATAATATAGTATTGCAGGGTGGGGAACTTCTGAGACTGAAGTCAGTTGCCAGGTCAGAGAGTTGCCTTAATGGAATCATGACCACATGCCTTCAAGTTGGAGGACATTAGCTGTGGTCTAACCTAGAGAGACATGGGCTTAGCTAGGTTTACTTTGCCCAAGGCATGCTGCACATGAATGAATGCATAACCAACATGTGGTTGGAGCTGATCAGAAGATCAATTATACAGAAAATGACCACACCAGGGCAAGGAAGGAATGATGAGGTATGATAACTATCTATTCCTCATATGCTCAGGAATCAAGGAAAAAAGTCTTACCAGAGTAAACTTCCTTGGTAATACAGCCTCAACACAGTTCATTTTTTTATGCGGATAATACTCCTCCAGATGCAATGTATATTTTTTTCAGCAGTTATGGTTAATGATGAAAAGGACAATAAAAACAAATAAGCAAGTAATGCTTTTTTTGACTCTAAATGCTAGTCACTCAGTTATTATAAATAAATGTGTAACAAAAAACACATTACACTAAAAAAATGTTCAAGCAGGTTATTTTTGGAGGATAATGAGTTTTTAAGCAAGTAGTCATTATATATATTTAAAAGAAGTTTACCCTGCCCATGCTTGGAATATTGCTGCTACATATAATCTTTATGCTCCTGCTATATATTTAAAGATCCTTGATAAAATCCAAAGAATCTGCCATGTTATTGGTACAGAACTAGCACCTCGGCTTCAACCACTTTCCCACTGCCATAATGTAGCTTCTCTCTGACTTTTCTATTAAAAACTTTCATGGTAATTGTTTTGATAAAATTTTCTCTAGGATACCTAGACTTTATGCCTTTAAGTTCAGTGCTAGATAGGTGGCAAGGATGGCTAGATGCAACCCTAAGTTCTATGCTAGCAGTTTTTTTTCTTGCTCGTGGAACTCCCTTCTGACTTCTTGCTTTCCAGTCAAGTTTGTCAATCATTATCTTCTATCTTTTTAATTCCTGTTCTTTTATTGTTCTCTTTCCTTAATAATGTTTTTTCTTTTTCTTATATTCTTTCACACTCAGTAATCCTTTGTATATCAGTGGCTTTATTGCCTTGTTTAGGGTGAAATGATAAAAAAAAAAGACAGGTATGTTATTTTATAAGTTGTTTATAACAGATAAATGGAGCTTCCCAATGACTTACATATAGGTGCATAATAATATCATAGCGAAAACTAATAATTAAAATATTTTTTTAAAGTATGTATTTTGTATCTGTCTATATTTCTGAGATGAGGTATTATGTACACTATTTACATTTTTCAGACTATTGTCCTCATCTTTGTTGCCATATTTATTACATAAAGTATTACATAAATATGGCGACAAAGATGAGGACAATAGTCTGAATAATGTAAATAATGTATGTATTTTGTAATTCACAAACTGGGAGTAGCTTTCCCATTATTTCTTGAATTTGTTGACATATGACAAAAGATTTATATTTCTTAAGTAAAACTCATTTGTATGTGATAATTTATGACCCCTACTTTTGATAAAATATCATCTCCATGGGAGTGATATTCCCCTGTTGAGAATGACACCTCTGCAAGGAGCCCTATTTATTGTTATTGTAAGACCCAGTTAGTATAGGACTCAGTAGTAATATTTTATGAGATGGGGTTACCAGCCCTTGTTCCATGAGGGGCTGTATTAATATTTCTTAAGTTTATAAAAGATTACATCAATCACCAAAGTTAAGCAGTGTCAAAACCAGCCAGTACTTAAATGGGGGTCAGCTTGGGATCACAGGCTACTGTAAACAACTTCCTACAATCTGAAATATGGTTTAGCTTTGAATAACTCATAAAGGGTTGATAGGCTGTAACTACAAGTTTGGTACCCCAAATAAGGATTGAACTAAAGAAATTACTAATCACTAGTCTACAGTGAGGGGTATTTGTTTTGTTTTTTTTTTGTAAGCAGCTATCTAATATACTCTTTGGTTAAGGAACTGTCAACTGTGATTTTAGAGATCAAATTCACTTTCCTGAACTTGTCTGAATTTCTTTCTGTAACATTGGTGATTTTATTGTCAAGTCTATGTCTGTCTGCTCAGAAGCCCGAAAAGGTATTGATAAATATTTTTCTACTTTCAGCTTTAATGAACTTGCTGAAATTTGTTTTGAGTCATGAATCACATTTGTTGAAAAAGCACAACATTTTCCACATTGCCTCAAAAGTGAGTAAATCTTCCCACCATTTTCCAATATTTTTTCTTTCTCTTTTGATCAAACTCAAAACTTCATTCATTTTCTGTGAAATTGAATAAAAAAAAAATGGAACCACTATTTGATGGTTATATTTCTCAGACACTATTATAAAGAAAATTGTGAAATTGTTTAAATGATTTTAACTAAATTTTCTAACAAAGTACCTATTTGTTTTTCATCTCTACCGTTTTTACGATAGGGGATTTGTAGATAGAAGTTCTTTTCCATATATGAAATCGGGCTTATAGCCATATCATGTTGAAACATTGGTTCTTGCCTGATCACTAAAGTTAAGCAAAGTTGAGTCTGGTCAGTACCTAGATGGGTGCCCACTTGGAATACCAGGTGTTGTAATGGATGACACCTTGAAATGAAAAATTTAGGTGCCATGTTTGAATTTCATTTGGGTTCGTTATATTCACTTATGTGCAAATACCATTTTAAAATTATGAATCCACCTTTTCTCCTCCATGCTATGGGTTAAGTAATCGAATTTGTATCAGAATATCATCATTATCTCCAAAAGATTCTTATAATCCAAAAATGTTTCGGCTTTAAACAGGCTTGAAAGGGTGCATGAGCCATAAAGAAACAAACAAATCATTCAGTCAATATATTACCAGCTCTGTCTAGAAGGTATCCAACTGTTTATTAATAAAAAAAAAAAAAGTAGCTTCGGTTGGGCAATTCTATCTTTGACTTGTACAGAGTAACACTGCCAACCACCCCCAATCACCCATTTGTCCCAGTGTTCCTTACATTTTTTAAGACAGTTGATAAAATCATCTTTTGGGATCACCATCAGAAGTCTCAAGTTCTTCTTAATCCTGTCTTTGGAGTTTCAGCATGATTTTAGCTTTGCTAAAAGCCAGAAGTCATAGTGAGCCAAATCTGACACATTTTTTGACCCTGACTAAAATGTAAAAAGAAATTATTCACTCAGTCATTGTTAATAAAATATTGACAGAGTATGCAAAGTTGAGCAACAGACTGAAAGATTTGTGAAGTATAACCATTTCTTCTCTATTTGGAATTGAAATTCTGAACGTTGAGTATATTCTGCTTCACTCTGCTGAGTTACCTTATGGGAGAGTATATGTGCATGCATGTACTGTAAGGTCCTCCTGATTGGTTGGCAAGTTATCTCAAGGCAATGCAACTGGTACTCTAGATATTAAAAAATGGCTAGACAGATCTTGAACATTCATATACATTTTTGTACCTACCTATGGTACATATGAAGCAGCCTACACATTAAACTGTTTGTGTTAATTTTTTTTCTTTTTTTCTGTTTTTATCATTTGAATGAAAGTTGAACAACTTCATATTGTGTAGTCTCTTGTTTAACAATAAGGCTAGGTATGGAAATAGAAAATGACGAGAAATCTTCCCTCAAAAACTACTTCCTTCCAAGTGTTATTTGAACTATTGCACATGTTTTATGTGTTGCTTATGATGTTACGACAGGATTTTGGTTGATGGCCAGACCAGCATTATTGTTTTCCCCTCTTTTTCTTGATTTCTTGTATATGTGAAGAAGACAGTAACATTAGATCAAATGAAATACAGTGGCAACAAGAGAAGATATCAAAGAATAGCCTGAACTACACTTCAGATGATAAAAAAAATCATATCTATTATGTTGTTTTTGCTTAACATGAACTATATAGCTAATATCTTTTACTGGAATTTTCTTGATGTATGTGGATGCTTAGTGGTGTAATTTATAGTGGCTCGGGATTAGAATTTGGAGAACTGAGTTCAAATTCCAGTTAGGCTTGTTACATTCAATTACATGCAAATATCATTGGGAAAGGTATGAATCCATCTCATCTCCCCTATGGGTAACTAGCAGGACAGACAGGATCCTACAGCCTTGATTGGTGACTAATCTAGGAGAAGGAAAAAAAACCCTGAATTCAAACCATCCTGGAGAAGATTGGGCTTCGTCAGGCTGTCTTGCCAAAAATATACTGCTGTTGTTACAGCTGCAGTACATGTCGTGCTCTGTGACCCTAGTCGGTTACGGGCCTTGTGATCTTGTTTTTTGACTTTGAATTGGAATGACTAATTTGAAAAATCATCACCGTTTTCCAACTATCTTTTTCAATAATTTTTTTCCAGGTTGTCAACATTTTCAATCTGTTTATAACATATGGTGATACATTTCTCCCAAATCCTACCAGTTATGATGAGCTTTATTATGAGATAATCCGAATGCACCAAGTCTTTGACAATGTTTATTCTATGGGTAAGTCAGTTTAACAATTCCTCCTACTCCAGTACCTTTTTTCAGCTGTGTTATGGATTTTATTTGTATTCAGAGTTTTATGGGTTGAATTTTTTTTTTTTTTTTAAACATTTTCTGGCATTGAAAATATCATATAAAATTAGAAATTTTATTGAAATTAGTTCATATATATATATATATATATATATATATATATATATATATATATATATATATGTGTGTGTGTATGTGTCCACATCAATAAGTTTGTAACCAAAAGATTAAATAAGCATGTATTATATTAAAATATATTTTCAACATAATCTCCTTTCTTGTTATTGCACTTAATTCAGAGGCAAATGTTAATCACATAGTTTGAATATACAGTGAAAATTACAGATGCACCCTTATATATATATATATATATATATATATATATATATAATTTTAAGATATGCTATATTTATGGGATAAAGTGCTCAAATATCAACAATAGAGCATATGTAAATATATATATATATATATATATATAAGAAAAAGACAGAAAATTCCTCTGTATGTCTAACTTACTTCCCAACATCTCACTAAATATCAGTTTTTCAGTACCATCTTGTGTGTTCATGTGTGTGTATATATATATATATATATATATACACACACACACACACACACACATGGTGGAGGTACAAAAGTCATACAGCTTCAGGATAAATTACTCATGAAAATTTTATCTACTAGTTATGTAATTGTTATTTGTGCTGTTCAAAATGTCCCCCTTTCTTTTTCAAAACACATTTTAATTCTATGCCTGCATGATTCATTAACATGTCGGAGAGTTTCCTCTCTCTTTTTACTGTATTCATATTTAATTCTTTCTTTAAATTTCTCAATATTTATTTGGCACACATCTGATAAACAACTAATTTCAAAAGGACCTATATAGAAAAAAAATCCAAGGGTGTGAGAACTGGTGACCTATTTTTTCTACAAAATAAGAAAATAGCAAAACAAATTAGATATTTAAAACATGATTAATTAATTAAACCCTTTAGTGCATGACTTTTGCCTCACTCTCTCTCTCTCTCTCTCTATATATATATATATATATATATATATATATATATATATATATATATGGGTAGGATAAAAAATCTACATATACACACATATACTCTGCGTATGTATAAATATATTTCTTCCTCAGGTGCTTTAAATACAGTGCTCAATGTTGGAAAAAGAGTTATATGTATATATATTAGTGGATATATATAATATCCACTGTCGATAACATGACTCAGAGCTTCATGCATTCTTGCAATCTTCAGGTGCAAATATTATATATATTTGATTATATTTGCACCTGAAAATTGCAAGAACTGCATGAAACTTAGACTTGTGCTATCGACATTGGATATTATATATATTCACTAATATATATATATATATATATACACACACACAGAGACATACTTTGATTTAAGAACACTAATAATCACATCTACTAATAAGTATGTATTTATTAACATATTAGAATGTCTTGGAATTTTTCAGTCTAAAAAAATTAATGACACTGATTTAGCATGGCTCTGTATATATATATACATAGACACATAAATATCCAAGTATCAGATAAGAAGAAATGGAGCATAATTCCACTGTCTGTATCATTTAATTTTTAAAAAGGGCTCAATACAGAGTAGAGCTTAATATTATTTATCATAGTAGATTGAAACATGTTGAAAGTCGCTACACAATAGCTTTCATGTTTCAGTACTAAGTTGTTCCTCTTCAGAAATCAAGTATAGAAAACATGATGATAATGATCGAAGAAAAAAGAATAGGACCAGAAAAATCATTTGTTATACACCCCTATTTAACCAAATGGTTAGTACTTAGGACAGACGTTCTTCCATTTAATTGATAAGCATTTCACCAGAAATAATCCACTCAGTAAAATATTTAACAGAAATACACTAAAACTAAGCTATAGCTGCACTTATAATCTGGAAAAAATTATAAAAAAAAAAACATAATAAAATTTTAAACAAGTATAAAAACCCATGTAATAATGTTAATTCCAAGGTAACTAATGTCAATAATACTAGCGAATATAATTGCAGAAATTCTCACGATTACCCACTGCAAGACAAATGTCTGACTGACTCTCTTGTTTACCTAAACACTATTTCTACAATAGAAAATCCAACTGCTGAAAAATTTTATATAGGGAGTAGTAAGAATTCTTTTAAAATTAGGTGGTACCAACATATCCTATCTTTCACCAATAGCACTTATAAAAATAGAATGTCTCATTCCACATATCTTTGGAATTTAAAAGAGGTTAATAAAACTCTTATGGTAAAATGGAAAGTTTTAAAAAGCTAGAACTTGTAAATCATTTCTTGCTTATGCTTACATGAGAAAATTAGAAATTATTAGATTTGCTGATAAAAATTCTCTATTAAACCAGAAAATTGAATTAACTGTAAATTGTATGCATAATTTACCTTTCACCTAACAATATGGTTAAGCTTTGAACTTGGTAGTACTATTTTATATGGTCATAATTAGTAAGTAAATTTTGGTGCATCTTCAATGAATGATTATTTTATTTTGTTTATTTATATTTAATATAGATATGTATTGCTGTTTCGTTGGCATTATTAAAATCTATGAAGGTCATATATTTTTTATTTTTAAACATTTAAGTTGTATTCAATGGTTTCTTAAAGAAGCCTTTTAATGATCAATTACAAAATCTCTGTTACAATTAGCTACACATTTGATTTTCTTCCTGCTCCTTCTCCTTAGCTTCTTATAAAAAATTGAACAATTATATTTGTTTATAATTATGATAGAAGGTTGCCACTTGTTTATAGTTTGTATCAATTTCTTGTCTGCCACTTCTAGGATTCTATTTCAGACCACATTTTACCATGATTAAAATTCCACTTTTTTCTAGGTTAATTTTTAAATTAGCCTAGGTCTGACACCTAATTGGTTAATCAGGGTAAACCCACAAGCCTCATTTTAATTCTGATTTGTTGTAATCTCGTCTTCTTTTCTCTTTTGAAAAAAAGAGGGGGGTATTCTGCTTTTGAAATTAAAAAATAATCATTTACTCACCAGTTATTTAGCATCACCTGAAGAGGGAGAACTTAGTGCTGAAGCATGAAAGAAATTGTGTTATGATTTCTAACATGTTTTTGTTTTAATCTACTATAATAAATAATTTTATATATATATATATATATATACACACACATGTATATATGTGTGTATATATATATATATATATATATATATAGACACACACATACACACATTATATATATATATACATATACAGGGTGTGATGAGTCATCATTTTATATTTTTAATTTCGCACATGCATGTTATTTGTTTTTGATTTTTTTCGACTGCATGGTATAGGAGGGTCAGTTGGGCACCATCTGTGGGAAAAAGAGCACCACGACACAATTCTCTTGAACAGATATTTAGAAGCGGCATACTGTACTGCTTGGTATTTGTGCTGGAATTTCCATACAAAAATTTCAGAGTGTTTGGGTGTCAAACTGAGGACAGTGCAGAGGATTTGGAAAGAATTTGATGTGTGTAATGGTAATTACAAAGGTATGGCAGCTCGGAAAACTCACTCTGATCGTTCTGATAAGAAAAGAATTCCCAAATTTTCAGACTCAATACGGAGACCTACATCAAGTGACTTGAGGAGATAGTGCTGCCCTGGGTCAAGAGGGTGGCTGCTGAAAGATCCTATGTCTGGCAACAGGACTCTGCACCATGCCACACAATCAGGAGAACCCAGTCATGGCTGTCAGACAATTTCTGCTACCACATCACCTTTTACATATGGCCACCTCCCTGATTATTGTGGTTGGGGCTCAGTTGAGCAAGAGACCAGCTAAACTTGTAATACCAAAGATGAACTGAAGGTAAGGATTATGGTAGCATTCATGATTTTATTGACTTAGTTTATATTTTTTAGTATTTCAAGATATTTTTGTGGTAAATATATCTATTAAAATGAGATGTCAGTGTTATTTTCATTTTTTGTGTAATTTAGGTGACAATTTATCCATCGCACTACTATGGTGTGCAGTTGACAAAATTAAAAACAAACAATGTGCATGTTCAAAATTAAAAACATAAAATGGCGACAATTTGCCCATCACACCCTGTATATATATATATATATATATATATATATATATATATTCTCTTCTTGACGGTCTCTGTGTTGAGTCTGAGGCTCTGTGTGAAGATGAATGGAGACATAATGTCGCCATCACTAGTGATCACCCCAAACAACTTCATAATCATCATTAGACTCATCCAGCTCTTTCCGAAACCTCTGCTCTCTCCTCAGATTGGCACTCAAACACTCTGAAATGGAGCTTCTGGTGCGAATGCCAAACAGTACAGCATGCCATTTCCAAAGTTCTGACAAAGTAATTTGTGTTGTGGTGTTCTTTTTCTCACGGATGGTACCCAATTGACACTATTATAATGTGCAGTTGACAAAAATCCAAAACAAACAACGTGCATGTGTGAAATAAAAAATATAAAATGACGACAATTTACCCATCGCACCCTATATACACACTCACACGTATGTCTGAATAATATATATATATATATATATATATAGCATAGGTAAAAAAAATCCGTGGGTAAGTAATCCAAGTAGATCCTATTAATAAAAAATATTAAAACTGATCCACAGAATAAAGTTCATTATAATTTTTATTATAGAGCATATAAGTGAATTACAATTAATGAGATCTAAACATTTTACTCCATACAGAAAAAGTAGATAAATGAAATTATAATTTTATATATGAATTTTTTTCTATTGTGATGTCAAATTTTTTTTTATATATGAAATGGGTTTTGAGCTGTGGAATTTCCTTCTAGATTTAAATATTTCTCTCCTTGTTACATGTTTTTTATTTGTGGAATTTTCTCCAGTATTTAATTGTTTCTTTATAATACTAAAAAAG